ATGTTGCTCTGGACAGTGAAGAGGACATTTTTGTTTTGTTGTAATTGTTTTCTAATGATTTCATGTAGTTATACAAAAATACCATTTTCTATAAAAACATAATGTGGAAACAATTTAGCTGATTTAAGGCAACATAAAGGGGTCTTGGGATGAGGAGGGTTATGTTTTTTGTCCAGTTATTGTCAGTGAATTTAACTCTGTCGATTGAGAGGAAACAGCAAAATGACTCTCAGTACAGACACAAGATTTCATTTACACTTATTTTCTGTTGTTGGGGTGTTTGTGGTCTGAATGTACATAAATGTATGTTAATACTACAGAAAAAGTACTCGGTATGACGATCACAGTCAGGCAGTCTGTTCCTAGCTCAGTTTCTGACGGATCAGCACATCTCATGGTCGTTCAGTGACCCTGTTAAAGTGTTCTTTTTCTTCTTTGTTGGTGTTGTGCTAGAGGAGACAACAGATGGAAGATTTTTCTTTAAGGCATTATATGGAAATAGACAATAAAGCCTCGAAGAAACAAATATTCATGTGTTCTTTATTTTAGACTTTTCACTTCATTAAGTGTTATATTAATTTGACTCTCCGTCCATCCCATAATAATTAAATCAATATCTTTGAAACACTTGATCAGATTCAAGATCCCCAAACCAAAATGCGAAGTGATATACATAACTACAAAAATGCAATAACAAGAGCTGGAGCACATATACAGTTGCAGGAAATTGGAATTTCCTAGTTTTCTGATTAAATTGGTCATAAAATGTGTTCTGATCTTCATCTAAGTCTCAACAATAGAGAAACACATAAGAGAAAAAAGGCACAGCATACCAACATCAAAACCTCATCCCAACTGGGTTGTATGGTGGAGGGGGCATCATGGTTTGGGGCTGCATCAGGGCCTCGACAGATTTCTATCATCGACGGAAAAATGAATTGCCAAGTTTATCAAGACATTTTGCAGGGAAACTTAAGGCCATCTGTCCACCAATTGAAGCTCAACAGAAGATGGGTGATGCAACAGGACAACAACACAAAGCACAGAAGTAAATCAACAACAGAATGTCTTCAACAGAAGAAAATACGCCTTCTGGAGTGGCCCAGTCAGAGTCCTGACCTCAACCCGATAGAGATGCTGTGGCATGACCTCAAGAGAGCAGTTCACACCAGACATCCCGGGAATATTGCTGAACTGAAAAAGTTTTGTAAAGAGGAATGGTCCAAAATTCCTCCTGACCGTTGTGCAGGTCTGATCTGCAACTACAGGAAACGTTTGGTTGAGGTTATTGCTGCCAAAGGAGGGTCAACCAGTTATTAAATCCAAGGGTTCACATACTTTTTCCACCCTGCACTGTGAATGTTTACAATGTTGTGTTCAATAAAAACATGAAAACATATAATTGTTTGTGTGGTATTAGTTTAAGCAGTCTGTGTTTGTCTATTGTTGTGACTTGGATGAAGATCAGAACACATTTTATGGTCAATTTATGCAGAAAACTAGGAAATTCCAAAGGGTTCACGTACTTTTCCTTGCAACTGTAACTACAGGGCCGACAGACAAAATAAAATGATATCATTTGAAATCTTGCCCTAAATGTTTCCAACAAAAACATTGACTGAACCTCAGCCCTTAACTTAAAGCATAAACAGTAGAAAAAGGAGACTAAAAAGCTGTTCACCCTCACTGTTTTCAAAGCTGCAATTTACAATTAAATAAAGGTTGAAACACAAAGGCTCGCTAAATCTCATTCATCTAAAGTGTTTTGAGGCGTTGTACAGAAGAAAGTGTGACTGTCAGTTCGACGATGACTCCACTATGGAAACTTAAAAAATAGTCTTTCAAACTGAATTACTGAGAAATGAAGCCAAAGCAGGAGTGCTAAAAACTTCTGTTGCTTGAATGTCAGCTTAAAGCTGGCTTCAAGAGACATGGAAGTTACACACCCCATTCAAAAACATCTGTTTTGACTGTACAGCTTAAGTTTACATGTTTACAGCCTGGTACAAATTGTCTTCCTCGGCACCCACTGTACACAAAAAAAGCCATTCCCACTCTCTCCTCACATTATGGTCACTTCTTGCTCCAGGAGTAACCTAAGAGTGATGTCATGGTGACTGGGTCCATTTGTTATATACCGTTAAAATGGTGGATTTTGTTTGTTATTGAAAAATGAACAGTTTATCTATAATCTGACAACATCAGAGTGTATCAGTACTGCTCAGTCCTCACAGAGTGTTTAATTTGCCGCTTAAAAAGTAAAGATGTCAAATAAGTAAGAAATATGAAACACTGACACAAAAGAGTGTCTTCATTACTTCTTCCTTTGGCGGACCAATTTTCAATTCCCTGCAATGTAGGGATTCTCTCTCTGTACACAGAGAATCAAGGAAGAAGGAAGATGTGGCGAAGCAAGACAGATGATGAACGAGGGGGGGGGGGAAGGAAATTGGCAACAGAGCGTCCTCATCAATCAGCTAGGGCAGGATGAGATTAGTAAAGCAGACAGTGGAGGGAGAAATCAATACAGACCTCTGCAGAATGAGGGTCTCTGTGTCACACAAGCAAGAAGAAGGAAAGGCATTCAAATCTCTCCCCCCTTTTTTCAACCATTTGTCACTTTCTGCGGTCAATGAAGAGGGAGATCCAGTACTCTTGTGGTTCTGATTTTGGTCTCTGCTGGGGTCTTGTTAAGTACAGAGAGACCATGCTGCCCTGGAGGGGAATTTTATAACTGGAGGGCAATCCTGGCACTGCCACAATATATGGTCAGTATTGAATATAAAGTAAAAAAGCACAGAAACAACAGAAAATCTGCAAATAAAGTACATTTTTCTTAATATGACAAAATTGAAATAAAAAACAGGATTACAAACTACTTGACTCACATTGGCTCTCAATGGTCAGTGATCTTTCAGAATATACGGAGGCCTTGAAGGCTTGTGTAACAACATTGGATGAAATATAAAATTGATAGCACAATATTTCATAACCACATTAAAGAAATAAACAAATATAAAACCTAACGGTAATACAGAAAGCTTGAATTCCTCCATAACTTCTGAAATCACCCGTTTGATCTGTATGAAGAAATATGTGATAGACCTTCAAATATGTTAAATATTCTAAAATCAGAAAAACTGCTCTTTAGGGGAAAAAAATGACATAAACTGTTAAACTGATTGAAGTCAAACTCATCTTCATGGGACTTCAGGAAATTGGAGGCAGCTAGAATCACAAAGGGAAATCAGATGATTAGATGCCAACTCAAAATAACCAACCTCCAATATTATACAAAATTAAGCTGGGGTGGTTAGTCCAGTTGCTACTATCCCCATTCATGTTTCCCCTCACTCATCCAAATCCAAATTGATATCAACTCATTGGCTTGAAGCAGTAATTTATTATGGCATCTAAAGTGCTTTGGAAGAGAACCATGGCCTCAGACTTGGAGGCTCTAACTCTCATCCTGATTGCTGCAAACTCAACTTCAAACTGCCCCAGATGAGAGGCCACTGTCAGGGGGCATCTACACAGGGAACGTGCATGACTGTGCAAAGAATATGAACTCCAATTTTAGTTATGCTACTGTGTTCCTATCGAATCCATACTGCTTGTTAACTGGAAGAGCAAACTCCTGTGACCCCTCCAGAACCCCACAGGTTGAAGTTCTGGTCCATTGTTCAAATCAAATGGACATCTTTTCCAACGCCTAGGAATAAAGGCGCCCCTGTAAGCTCAATAGTGTAATACCCAGATAGAGCACACCTTCCTGTCCTTCTGTTTCAAAATGGGAACCACTCCTATCAATTTACAGGCACCGTACCAGACCTCCATGTGACACTGAAGAGACGTGTTAGCAAAGAGAGCCCAACACACTGTCAGGAGCATTCTCCCTGCCACTGAAGAACACTTTGACTACCTCAGAGACCACTGTCGAAGATGGTTGAGACTTCCACTGGATCTTTGAAATGTGCCACTTCATCAGATGGCATGCTACTTTGGTTCAGTTCTTCCTTTTAAGTGTTTTTAACACAGTTCAACATCTTCAGACAGCAGCTCTCCAACCCTGCAGAAAACAGCAGTAAACAAGCCCTGCTTTCCTTCCTTGGTTCTTGAAACTGTAAGAACTTCCTTGAGGTCAGCCAAAACCCCCTATCCATAGCCTCCCAGCCTCTTCCCACACCCAGGTTTTAGCTGGAGTCTTCCGGGCCCATATGGTGCTTTTCTGCTGGGCTATCTGAGTCTGAAAGATTTCTTCAGATTCAATGGCTGCTGTCATAGCAGGCACCAACACTTACTGAGAGCCAAAAGAAAAGGGGCTCAAGCTCCTGTCTTGCCTTCTCTCCTTAATACTTCTGTCCTGGCAGATGAAGTATGCCATCTAGCTGTACCTGACCTTACTTTTATGACATTGTAATGAAACATATTTGATGTCAAGAGAAAAAAAGACATTTGTGAGACTGTTCTCATCTGGATAATCATTCACTACATGACCAAGTCTGCCCTCCAATACCTAACACCATACACTATATTTCTACTGTTCAGTCACATGTTTAAAAGTGGATGAAAGAGGTGCAGAGCACAGGGAGATCCAGCAAGTTGGCTCATAGACCGACAAGGAGACTCAAAGGCAATCTTTTTCATAACATCATAATCATCCATAACAATCCATAACAATTCTTGTATTTAAGTGCACAATCTAAAGTATGGTCCCTGTGCTGTGCCAATCAAATCACCTACAAGTATATGTCACAGTTTCCTCTGTGTTACTGCAGGCTAACCTTTGCCCTGGCTGTGTTTGGTATTTCATAATGTAATGCTGACCTCTGATCACAGCAGTCCGGGAAATCATTTGGAAATCTGGACTCTAAACAAATGAATCTCTGTTGTGGTTTGACAAACATGGGAGAAACTAAAACATGCTGCAATGTTTGCTGAATGTTTTAACCGTCAAATGTACTCAATTTAAGTTGAAACTAAAGACTTAAACCACATTTAGTTTGTTATTCAACATCTTTATCATGATTGAATCAGCTTTCAGATTATGACCTTTAAATGTATTTGCGATCTCTCTAAGTTCCCATTGTTTGTATGCACATAGCACAATATGAATATGATGTAATGGTTGTAAAATACTCAATCATTATGACTACATTGATGAAGTATTCTATAAATGTTCATTTCTGTCTTGTAATGATCTTTATATGTCATAACTCTGACTTATGTTAACATTATGATGAGAGACCGGTGTGTTGAACTGTTTTTACCCCCGAGTGTGTCTGCAATGTTGTTTGTTTCATTGAATCAGTGTGTGGGCTTGGAGTAATGAGGGGTGTCAGAGTCACAGATACTGACTCTTTACTCCACATTTCTTCACTTTTTGGGGAAGTGCCCTCAACAATCATTAACCTGTTCTGATTTGAAATGGGCTCTTCACTCTAACATTTTTATTCCTGACAAAATGTGGGTGAGATATCTCGGGTTTGTTATTCTTTTCGGCCTTCCAGGAGCACTGCATGGTAAGAACATTAGACTCTATCACCTAACATTTACATTGGTTTTTTTTGTTTTTTATGATGGTGTTGTGCTCTTATTTTTACTCATCTTTTTGTGCAGCTCAGCCTTGTGGCGCTCCAGGCCTTGATGGTGGTTATTTTGTCCCGTTACAAGAAACATATTCTCATGAAATTGAGATAACTTACGCCTGTGATAGTGGACGTAAACCTGCAGTGGAGGGATGGTGGGCAACAAGCACATGTCAAAACGGGGTATGGTCTCCTGAACCGCAATGTATAGGTAAGTGTTTGTTTGAATGAGACACTAAGAGCCTGTAATAGCGCTTGTCATGCTAAACTGTATGTAATGTTCAAGTTTTATGTTTGTTTGTTTTTTTACCTCATGAAGTCATCAATCTTTCAATTTATGAAACTTTAGTCTGAAACGGCTTCCTTTAGCAAATGTTATTACATTTCTTAATGAAACTCTTCTGTGATGAGCTTTATACTATGTGCATGAAGAAGCAACATTTTCATCCTCTGTCTGTTATATGCATCCAAATAATCACTGAGTTCTTCGTCAAAAGCAGCGTCTAACAGAAATAAACCCAAAAGTAAATGTCACATATTAACATATGTCTTTAACTTTTCTTCAACTGAATGGAGATGTGACATTAACATTCAGTATTGAATTGCAACAACGTTTGCTTGTTAACAAACAAAAAAAAAGTTTATTTTAATTCTGCCCAGCAGGACAATTGATTACATTTCAGTAAATACACAACACAGTTTGAATCCCAAGAACATGTGTATCTTGAGATGAGGTAATTAACTAGTAGTTAGATTATAGATGTCTATATTTTCTCTAAATGTGATAAGAGGACCTGCTGCTATTGTTAGCTTGTTAAAGGGATGTTTTGTGGTGGGGAGGTGCTCAGAGCTAGCTTCTACACGTTGATGAAACTATATAGATATATATTTATATATATGCAGCACCTCTCCTTGCAAAGCTTTATAGTACATTTGACTTAATGTTTGGCCGCTGTTAGTACGTATTTTTTGTGGACATATCTTTAAATTGTGTCAACCATCTCACAGTAATTCTACTTTTGGGTCTGTGAAGCTGTATCCTTATATGGTGAAACATGTAAATTGTAGCAGATCTTTATTTGTGTAAAAGCCAACCATATGTTGTCAACAACTGTTTGCTAGACAGAGAGTCTACATCTGTTACGTATACAAATCAGTGTCATGTCATCTTTATTGTTTTGTAGTGATGTACCCAAATAGAAAGGAATTTGTGGGCTGTACCTTCTAGCAGAATATAAGCAGCACTGTGTGATGAAGACTTTGCCATTTTGTCATTTTGCCACTTTGCCAATGATTGTCAATGATTGTGTGATCTTAGTTAGCATGGGTCAGCGATGGTCTGCACTTTGTCAGCCGTGTGTTGTGTTTCTGTGTTGTCTGACCATGGCTGAATAGATCTAAGATGATCCACAGTCTGTTTCATAATTTCATTTTTGTTCATCTACTACAGAAATAACCCCCACCTAACAGCCGCCCAGTGCAGTTTTACTGTTTTGACTGGATATGTTTTCCCTCTCACATCGTTGTGCTAAAAAGCACACTGAACACTACCTGATATTCATTCAAGAAGGAGACTAGCTCGGCTAACTGCAGGGGAACATAGTGGATGATTTAGTAGCTATATAATCAGCAGTTGGCAGAGAGACCAAGTACAGAGCTAAAGTAGAAATACATTAGTCATTTTCAAATCTCACATTTATTCACTTGTATATAAGAAATAGCCTACAATTGGACAATAAGAATTCAATTCTTGTTGAATTTCTGGTATTCTTGAAAATATTGAATAATAAATCCACAGTAAAGGCAATGGAGCATACATTCAAGTGAAGCAACAGGTTATGCAAATACATTTTTTACTGTCATGAATTCATTGAAATAATACACATGCAGAGAATATTTAAAAAAATAAACAGTGTATAAATCACTGCGACCATGTTCAAATTGTGTTATCATGTCTTTCTTTTGCTCTCAGGCGAAGAGGACTGCCTTCCACCTGAGATACCCAACGCAAAATTCAATAAAAAACAAAACAGTTGGTATAACGAAGGAAACACAATAAGGGTAACATGTGACAACGGATATGAGCTGAAGAACAGGGATGCCACAGCCGTTTGTTTGAATGGAACCTGGACCTCTGTTCCTGTCTGTGAGAGTAAGTCTGTCAGATGTATAATACTGTCCATATTAACATTACAGTCTAAATGAATATCATCTTTAAGTTATCTAACCATTTGTTTGAGCTACCACCTTCTGTAATGTGCTTTTTTTTTGTTTTGTTTTTTTACAGTAAGTAACAATACATGTGGTGAACCCCCTCAAATCCCCCATGCAGTCATCATTGGTCAGAAATATCAGGCGAGTTTTGCTGCAGATTCCAAAGTTAGATATAAATGTGAAGATGGATACTCTGTGGAGGGAGCAGAAAGCAAAAAATCCATCTTCTGCATATCCGGAAGCTGGAGTGAACTCCCAAAGTGCAGTAAGTGAACTACGTGCTAGAATTTGCAGAAATAATAATGATAATTAATGCTTAAAAAATAAACAATTGAACTATTGCAAATGATCCAGAGCAGCAACTGTCAAACCAAATCTTAGCAACCATATCTAGGCATGACAGAACTGTCAAGCTTTGGTTTTCTTCGCATGCTGAATTATAGCGCCAGTCTTTTAAAATGAGGATTTGTTTTAAGCCTTTAATTAGAGGTTCAAGACCTTTTAATAGACTCCTTTGGTCCAAGGTGATCTTCAGACATATTCTCGTAAAAAAATGTCAATGGCTGTGATGGATTTCACTTAGTACCAGTGTTTGGGTGCTTTGCAAATGTGTAGTGAGAAATATGGCAACCTATAAAGTGGGCTCCATACCCATAATGCATCACAAATAAAAGGGTACAGCTGAGGATACCAAGCTTAGCAGTATACAGTATACCATCATGCATCGCAATGTATTAAAAAACAAACCCCACAATGACGTAAAAAATGACGCAAAAAAAAGTCACAAGTTATTTCAGAGTTTTACTGTTGAGCTCACGATATAGTCCTATAGTAGTATCAAACTAGTTAAAATCATTGTTCATTAGATAGAAATGAGAATTCTGTTTTCTGTTCAATTCGTGTGAAATCCAACAAGAATTGTTTTGAGAAATACTCAAAGACTGTCACTGTAAGAAGAAATTTACCATGAAAATACTATGGAAATCTTAAATACAGTATTAGTACATTTTACTGTTATTGTAAACAATAACATGAAGCTGTGTCAGCATTTATCCTTTCTGTGAGACAGGCTACCTGATATGTTGAATTCACAATATCAGATTTGGTTTTCTCTTTTGGTAGATTTGAGAATTGTTGGTGTATCAATTTGTCAAATGTCTCTACAGTTCTCTATTTAATAACTGATGTTTTTACACTTAGGCAGAGGGACCAGACAAAATACTGGACACAGTAGCTCAGTAGAGGTCACCACATCTGCTGGCAGTGGGACGCAAACTGTGGGTGGAGGTAATTTAATTTGGGATATCCTTTGATGTAATCTCTCTTTAGAGTACATACTGTATGTATTAAGTTATTAAGCCTGCTGCCTCTGACACCTGGCCCCAGTTTCCAAAATAAATTGATTTAAAATGTAATATCTTTATCTTGAGTATGACTCCAAATAAATGAACAGATATACAGTCCAAATACATACTGTATATCTGAAGCCTGTTTTTCTTTTTAACAAGGTAGTGGATCTTCAGCTGGAGGAACAGCTGGCGGACACCCTACATCCACAGAAAGTGGGACACAACCTGGGGGTGGTGGTAGGTTATATATTACATTCATTTATTGTATGTGGCTGTAAACTTTCAAGATGGCATGGCATTCAGCCTCATCATTCATTCATATTCATCTCTGCCCATTCTCTGTTTGATATCATTTGTTATGCTGTGATTTTACATTTTATGCACTAACTAGTTAGTTAGGAGGATGTCAGTTTGGGGACCTCAGAATTGCGTCTCTGCTTTTTTATACTACTTTTTTTTGCATCTTTTGGCTTTACTAAATTGTAACTTCAGCAGGCCCCTATGCAGTTTTGCAGATGAGTGTACAGCTGTTAGGATGAGACAATGAACCTCCAAGTATGAGCCCACAATTTGGGAGATTTCTCCCTCTGCTTCAGGAGTGAATTACTGCTTTAAGCAGGTAGTTCCAATTTCTTGGGTCTTGTTCATGAGTTAGGTTAAAATGGAACCTAAACAGTCCAACACTCTCCTTGAGCTTGGGGTAGTCAGTCAATCTTCATATGTCTCAATCTTTGTATAGTGCCAATTCATTACAAATGTTTTTTTCAATCCACTTCACATAGAGCAAGTCTAGACCTTACTCTTTGTTATAATGACCAAATGAAAAGATCATGGATGAAAGCGTCAAACTTAGTGTCCTCAGCCTTGTGGCAGGACTATGGCTGCTGCTTTTTGTGTCAAAGGCGCAGGCTGAGGTGAGGTGGTTCAGACATCTCATCGGGATGCCATCTTGATCTGATGTTTTAAAGGCAGAGGAAGTGGGGATGTTGTACATGGTGGACCTACAATTACAGGTACTACATCCACCGGCAGTGGTACACAACCTGTGGACAGAGGTAGGTATATAACCTCTGTATCATTGTGGAATGTACAGTAGCTTTAATAAGTATAGATTTTAAAATGATTATCACATTTAAAAAAAAAAAAATTTAAATGTTAAAAAAAATATAAAAATGACTAATGTTATGTCTTTTGTTTAACTGTTCTCTTTTACAGGATCTTCTACCACATCTGTTTCAAATGACAGAAACAGTAAGCCTGCTTTCATACCAGGTAAATCAATTGACCTCTTAATGTTTTTTGGTGTAACCTTCCCATTTTATTATCACTTTCTTAGAGGTTACAGTAGCAGAAGAGTTGAATTCAGATGGGGTTTCCACAAGGTTCAATACTTGGTCCTCTCTTATTAAGAATGTATATCAACAGGTTTACATTCATTACTTTGTTCCACCCATCTTTATGCGAATTAAGTTCTGTACTGCTTTGTTAACTCTACACACTTAGCCATTGTAAACTTCCAGCAAGCTTTTGATCAATTACAACATGTTTAATCTTGAATTGGTTCTCAACACAATCAAGACAGATCCCTGAGGGTGGGTTTTTATTTGTCCTGAATTATTGTGATGTTGTCAATAGGCACACCTCTGCCACCCCTTTTTCCGCCCTAGATTACAGTAATCATGTATCCCCTCATCATTAAACTGGTCTCGTATAGTATTTTCACACATATACAAAACTCCTTTATCCTGCAAGGCCCCATGTAAAACTTCTACCTGGAGTTGGGATGAGCCAATGTGAGGCTATGGCAGGTAATATTGAGTGGGAGGGGACGATGACTTTTATGATGCATATCCTGCAAAATAAACGTCCATAGACTTGCATGCAACTGCCGCTCAACCAGTGCTATCTGTGCACATGATTTAACCTCTTCAGGATGTTTTCTGTTTGCCAGTATGTTCTTCTGTGCTCTTTTGACGATGTAGGGAGTATGTCTAACTGGGAGTCAATTCAAAACCATGATTACAAACTACTTGGTCTTTGTATGTAACTGTTTTTGTATTTATTCTGGTTTGTTGTACTCTAAAAATCATTAATAAAAAGAACATGCCCCCAATAATTCCATGACATCTACTGCAAATAAGGGTCGAAGGTATGAATGATCAGCTGACATTCAATATAAATCTGTATCAATATAATACAGTTCTTCAGACTGGTTTTGGGATCATTCAGGCAAAAACCCAAAGACTGTAGAAACATAATCCTGGTCCTTCCGACATAGCCCATTAGTTTCTGAAAAGGCATCTTGAAGTCCAATGATAGCATTAGCTATATTGGAAGTGCTATCTCAAGCTACCTTCCATCAATCTAGAAACAGGCAACACGGTAGAGCTTAGGTAAACAGTTACAACGTGTCCACCGTCAGTTAATTCTGCCATACCCCTATATGCAAAATTTATGAATAACTCTTGAGCTTAATACAATCAAAACAGATGAGTTATAAAAAACAATCAAACCCAGTACAGTATGTAGCAATGAATAAATGAGCTATTGATACCAAAAAAGTTTTCTGAAACCAGGCTATGGACATGTTTATTTTTCCTTTAAAAGTGAACATTTTAATATGGGATCCAATGGGGAGTTCTTGTTTTTTTGCAGCCAGGATCAAGTGAACAATCGAGCAACTGAAATTTTTGTGCTTCCACACTGGGGCTACAATTTTTTTTTACACCGGAGCTCGCTCCATGGCTAAAACCTTTGTTCATTACTACATAGACCTGTTTTTTTTTTTTTTCAGTTCTCAGCAGTGGTACCTCCGGGTTGAGAGTGTATTTCTATAACTGAATGGCGGATGTTGTTGTATTTGTTGGGAAGCCAGTGAGGGATCTGCCTTTATTATGACCTCTTCTGATTGGTTATGGTTTGTGCTTGGGAACAGGTTGCATAGCCGGTTGCAAGCCTTCCACATGAAGATAAAACACATTTGTAAAGATAAGGCTTTATGTAAACAAAATAACAGCCTAACTGAACAGCATTCATCATTTTAAAAAAAGTGGTGAAAAATATTCACTTTACTATGAAACTTTGACCATAATAATCAACCCGTTTTAATTTCAGTCAACGAATGCGGAGTCTCCCCAGTTATTCCAAATGGTGTTGTTGTGCAAACGGAGCGTATGCATTTGAAATACGAATGTAATTCTTATTACACACGAGTGGGACCAGACACTGTGGTGTGTACCAACGATGGCAGATGGTCAGAACTTCCCTCCTGCAAAGGTATACACAAATCAATACCAGTCTATTTATTTTTTAAGCTCTATAAGACATGTTGATCAAACAGAACCAACAGATACTTTTTTATGGTTTTTTTTGTGCAGAGGCTTTCTGTGTCTTGGATCTTGCTCAGTATTCTGGGATTGGGATTAGGCAAACTGGAAAAGAATATATTAAGGAAGGAGAGACGAAGAATGTATACTGTTCCTATTATGACTACGTCATTTTTACTTGCACTCAGGGAAGAGTAACCTATACCCAATGTAAGTACATGCCATCATTTTACAGTCTCCCCCAATGCTTTTAGTTTCATCTTTTTGTCATCAGTTGTATACGAATTGTTGTCTCAAGGATCCAAGTTGATTTAGATCCATTTAACTGTTATAGCTTCAAAAATATTAAATAAAAAAAACAATCCAAACTTCAAAGAGACAATGAAATTTGAATATATATTTATTGATTATTAAATGAATGATGTATTTAGTGGATAAACTTGCAATTTTTTTATTTAGTTTCATTGAATAAAAAGCAAAACAAATTAACCAAATACTCTACTGATAATGACTGCACTAAATTGAATGTGTTATAGAACTCCATTGCTGTCCAACTATTAAAGAGACATAAATTAGCCACACTACGTGACATGTTTCTTAATTAGGATAAGCATGGTCCCTTTATCTCAAGCCATTTATTTTTATTCTCACATTTTCCTGTTCCTCAAATGAAACTCAGATTTCTTATTATGTGAGGTAATTATTCATGCCAAGCAGATATTTAAAGAACCAAACTTCAGTAACATAATTTCTGTAAATGAAACTATGTATTGAAACATTCCTTCATTTGCCACTGTTTTTTTTAGGTTGCGAGGCGTATTATCATAACTATGTAAGTTTCAGTCTTTTATTCACTTCTCAAAAGATTACATGATAATTACACGTTTTTGGAGTATCTGACTTAATTTCTTTTTATTAACCTCAGAAGTTTCAGGTTCAATAATAAATTGTAAACATTATAACTAACTGTGTGTTTTCTAACCAGGGACGCTGCTAAGAAAAAACAGCAGAGGAGCAACTGTAGGACTGTGGGGACTGTGGACAAAAGCCAAGTTGGAGGCTACGGAAATATCTCCATCAGAAAAAATTAAACTCTAAAACATGTTGACAGATTTGTGTTTTTTAAATTTGTTTTAAACCAGATATTTCCCCCCCTAAAAAACAATTACAAACAAACATTTTTAACCGTCTGCTTTTTCGTGATGATAGTAACTCTGAATGTGCTACTAACATGAACATTACAATATAAAGTTTATATGGCCTACTATAATCTCAATATATTGTCTTGTGTCTTCTTCTTGTGTTGATACACATCAGATGGCATCACAATCAGCCATGATTTATGCAATTATTTAAACCTAATCTGTTGTCTACTGTGGAAACTCAAAAGGTCTTTGGTGAGAGAAGGCTTAGGTTAAAGACTGATTGAGATGCTGCAGAGCTCTTGATGATCCAACAGATGGCAGTCAGAGTCTGAGCTGGAACTCATAATAAACTGTGTTAGCACAAGGGACCAACAGCCTATATGGAACATTATTATAGGTTTAACTTCATAATCAACTAGTCATCTTTATGATGAACACCCATCTGCTGGGACTAGGTGGTGAGAAAGAGGGTTACAAAGGGAGGCAGAATGAGGGAGATAGATAGACACAGACAAGCAGACAGACAGACTGAGCAGGATATAATATAGAAACACAATGCTGAGAAACTCACACAACTTCACATGATGCTTATGTGGGTATTTCTATACAATGAACACGTGAAGATTTGTTGATCATTTAATGGTCAGGGGAAACAATATTTAACATTTTTGTTTTCAAATACTTCAGATCAACTTTAAGCCTTCATCTTAACATTATATGCAGTTACATTTGTGACTTTTTTATGAAGATTAAACTTCTCCATTTCCCTCTATTTCTTTTAACGAGCAAAAATGTTGAGTATGAACAGACTCAGTGGTGAAGAGCCAGATGGCGTGACAAGGCGGGGTGAGAAAGATAGAAGGAAATCCAGAGAGAGACAGACAGGGAGACAGAAGGACATACATTAGAAGACAAAAAAAACCCTCATCAACAACATAACAATAGATCATTTAGAATTACAGTAATGCTGCAGTATCATATGCAGAAATAGGATGAAATGTATTTGACTAATGTGCGTGACTGCTTTAAATAGTTGTAGCAGTTGGAGAAAAGGAGGTCCTTTAAGTGATTGTGTTCTTACATAATGCCGATCTCTGACCACAGCAGCATGGACTATCAGGTTGGTATCTGGTGTGTATACAGTCACATGGATTTCCGTTCAAAAATTCTGTGAGAAGTCAAAAACATAATTTAAATGAACACGTGAAGTAACAATAGCAGTAATTTAGTAGAACTGTATTCACTGCAATGCAAGACATAGAAAAGTGACTTTAAACATATGACTTTAAATGATGCAACAACTGTCCACTTCATTGATCTGTGTTTACAGGAGCCAAGATTAAGCAAAATACTTGTGTTTGTACTTACTTGTGCTGACTTCCGAGCAATAGTGTGATGTCAGTAACGCAGTGTAATGTTGACTGTTTCTTAACATGTTTGGAAAAAGGCCCATGATAATTATTAACTGGTCTGTTTGGGAACTGGCTTGTAGGCACTGCTTTATCAAAGTATTTCACTTCTTGACAAAATGTGTGTGAGATATCTCCACTGTGTTCTCCTGGTTTGTTTCCTGTATGGTAAGAAGGTTTTATCCTATCACTTGGAATGTCTTATATTTGTTAAATATACTTCTCATGTCTATATATTGTTGTGTTTCAGCTCAAAGTGCAGCTCAGCCTTGTGCTGCTCCCCGCCTGGGTGGTGGTTATTTTGTCCCTGAACAAGAAACGTATACTCATGGAACAACACTAAAGTATGCTTGTGATAATGGACGTAAACCCGCTGCGGAGGGTTGGTGGGCTACAAGCACATGTGAGAATGAAAAATGGTTTCCTGAACCACAATGTATCGGTAAGATATTTATGAATATCTCTGTGGGGTTGTCTGAAGATGTTTGAGGTGGGTCAAAACCTTTTACATTCTTCTTACAAATGATGTCATTAATTGTCTTTATACTCCAGATAATCAAATAAAGTTACAGCATGAAAGTGGCACTTTGCATCCCTAAACGAGAATGCTGCTCGTCTTAAATACAACAGATTGTAGTGTTATGTAGCTGCTCTCTGTTTTTGGAGCAACTTTTCGACTTTGGCTTCTATATTTTGTTTTTTTTGTTTCCTGTTTGTCTTGTTGTTTTTCTCTTATAATTTGAATGTTGTTGCTGCTACAATGATTTAGTTTCTCATCAGGGATTATTAAAGTAATCATATTATTATTTGTTTATTTAACAGGGACACATTCAGTAAACATTAGTAAACAAGTACAAAGTATGCCATGCATAAAGGTTTCTAGTCTTGGCTAATTTGTAGCCCCCGCCCCTATTACCCATCGGTTTAAAATTTGAATATTATAGTGTTGCTAACAACAACATGTTTATATTTGGACCCTTTTATAAGAAGAAGAAGAAGAAGAAATACTTCATTAATCCTACGAGGGGAAAATCAGTACATTACACTCTGTTATTGAGACATGCTGCACACACATAGGCTGAAACACCTGCACAAACATGATCCTATTGACATGCATGACTGGAGAGATGTCAGAGTGAGGGGGCAGAGGGGAAATATTCGTAAGAGTCATATTAAAATGTGTGTGAAGGTCATTTGTTTGTTTGTTTACACAGAAATAAACGCCTGCATTCCAATAACAGTCCCCAATGCAAAATACACAGAAAACTCAGATGGTTGGTATGAGGAGGGGGACAAAATACGGGTAACATGTGACGAGGGATATGAAGTGAAAAAGAGGGACGCCACAGCTGTTTGTCTCAATGGAACCTGGACCTCTGTGCCTGTCTGTGAGAGTAAGTGTGTTCCTCCAGTCACCCAAACCAATAACAGAATAGGATCAGTGTCCGAACCAACGCCATCTTTTCCTGTTCCTGCTAACACTTTTTTCTTGAATTGTTTACAGAGAGCATCCTTGCATGTGGTGAACCCCCTCAAATCCCCCATGCAGTCATTGTTGGTCAGAGATATCAGGAGGTGTTTGCTGCAGACTCCAGTGTGAAATATGAATGTGAAGATGGATACTCTGTGGAGGGAGCAGAGAGCAAAAAAACCATCTTCTGCATATCCGGAAAGTGGACTGAAGGCCCAACGTGCAGTAAGTGAACTAACCGCTAAGATGTAAAAAACTTCAAGACCTCCTCAGAACTTAAAAAACATTAAAACATGTTAAAGACATTGCTCCGTGGTGCTAGTAGAGGGTAATGCTCAGCAGGGTCCTTTCTACTGTCTTCATTCATTTTTATCGTCCACACTGCAGCTGCTCTCAGAAGAAGAAAAAACACTTCTAAACTTATTGTGTGTTACTTCCCCAGCATTGAACCATGACCTTGAAGTGTAAGCAGCTTTAGCAGGGGAACTATTAAGCAGCCATGATGAGAAGTGCAGTTAGTGGAGACTGTAGACCAGCAGTGCATGACAGCATTTGGCCAGTCGTCTTTCTCAGCTAAAGGCCCACAGATAGAGAATACCCCTCCCATCAGACATAAAAACATGAACTGACTCCAAAGGTTTGAATAACAAAGCGAAACAATGGCTTAAACAAAGGCAAATCTGCAAATACTAAATACATGTGTTTTATAGCACAGCATATTTTACTCCTCTTTTCTTTTTTTTGTTCATAGCTGTTATTTCAGTCATTATTATTTATTCTCATTCTTATTCATCGTCATCATCAATTTGCTTGTCTATGTCTGACTTAATTACTTTTATGCGTCGCTGAGTATCTATGTCTACTGCAATCGTCCATTTCCATGTCTATTTTTCAGCCTTGTTGTATCATGTGTATTATTTCCTAAAAGCCTAACCAGGAACAGGGAGTGTAAATTAGCCATGGCTAGAAGTCCTATGTATATTGCATCGGTTGCACTTTAATGAAGATGTAACAATGCCTACATGAATAGTCCCTGACAAATAAATTAGGAGCTGAACAGTCAAATATTTCCCTCAAGAGTCTGTAGACATAAGGTGACCAGAAAGTCAATCTTTTATCAATATTTCTTTAAACTCAGAGTTACAAATTTCTACATAAACAGGATTAGAATGAAAATACAAATAAACACGGCTTTGACTTTACAAATGTGTTTTGGAAGCTGAGTAACAGTCCAAGAGTTTTTTTTGTCATTAATAAACCACCATTTCAATCATATAAAATATAAGAATATACTACAATTGATCTATATATCTGTTTCACTCTCAGTCAGAGGAACTAGACCAGGTAGCGGAGGAGGTGAAGGACAAATTACATCTTCTGACAGAACACAACCTGCAGGTGGAGGTAGGTAAAAGACATAAACTGTGTGAGATGAAAATAAGTTTGTCCATGTATCTGATCTGAACACACTTCATTTACTTGTAAATAATACATATTTAAAGTAATGTTTGATCCTTTGAGGCAGCAGACCAGGTACTGGACAGGGTGGTTCTGCGGGTAGGGGAAACATTCCATCAGCTGGCAGTGTGGCCCGGCCTGTGGGTGGTATGTGTAAATTTGTATAAATAAAATGTTTTAAAATCTTAAAAATGGAGAATAAAAGCGCCTCTGACAAATGTGCTAAGTACTATTGGCCTTTTTGGATGATTTAGCAACAAATCTGGGGTCTGATCATCATTTCCTGTACAAAAAAAAGCAAGAAAGAAATACATACAGTATATATATATATATATATATATATATCTTTTTTTTTTTTTTTTCTTTTTTTTTTGATGTGTTCTCTTCCTGATGAAATCACCCAGGATTCATGTCTCCCTGAACAGCACTTTGAATTAATAAATTTGAATTATATTTTTAATTTTTAAGTTCATAATCTATATATATATATATATATCTAATTTAGATTTATATGACTACAATTTCTTGATGTATAGAAATCCATCCTCTGGTGTTGGAGTTCATTTGCAGGTTATTTCTTTTTTGATGCTTTGATAACCTGCTGCTATAACAATGTCAAAGTTTGGGGTCAATGAAGTATAAATCCATCCATCTATCTCTATCTTTTCACTTTTGTTTCTTAGTCAGAAACTGTGGAACTTTCCCTACGGTTGCCAACGGTGAAGTAGTGGAATCGAACGAATCGTTTTTGAAGTACAGCTGCAAAGTTTTTTACAAACTAGTTGGTCCAGAGACAGTGCTGTGTTATGGCGACGGCACATGGTCCAATATACCCATCTGCAGAGGTATAAACAAGTCTATTATAAAGTAAAGTACAGATTTGTATGATGGGGAGAGAGGGGGTTGTTGAAAAAAAAACTCTGTTTTCTTTTTGTGCAGATGCCTACTGTGCTGTGAACACTGATGAACATCCACTGTTAGTTTCAGTCGGAAAAGTCTTTATAAAAGAGGGAGAGGAAAAAGAATTTGACTGTGTGGATCAGGATGAGTGGTGGTTTGATAATTACTCAGTGGGCAAGTGCACGACTGAAGGACTGAGGTTACAGAAATGTAAGTATATCTTCATAGCTCATTTCATATGTTTCAGCTAAAATAGAACTACTTCACAGAGACATCTTTCTTTTCTTATTATCACTTGAGATAAGTGAGTGCTGGTCACCTGCGAGATCATTTCACTGATTGTCCTTTTGACAACACATTGACTTAACTTCCATCTTCACATCAACATGATGAAGGTCCTTATGTCTCCATTTAAGTTTCATCTTTTTTTTTTTGATCAGTTTTGACCAATCAATGAAAGGATTTGTCCCAAACTTCCAATATGTAAAATCTGCAACCTGGATCTACCCGGCCCCAGTTGTTTAAAGTTAATTTCATCAGATTAAAATTATCATGTCGAATCAAACCTTAAAAACAGATTGTTTAAAAGAAAAAAAAAGTGAAGTCTGGGTTTAACAATCCTGTTTTTTATTTATTTGGATTAAAAGCCCCCAGTTTGTGCTTCGGTATTCAAAAACTCTGAGTAGGATTGGGATAACTGTGATGTAGTAGTAGTAAATATTTCACAACACTGTTAATACAAAACAGACACTGTGTTATTTAAAGCTCTTGAGAGAATCCTTCTGTTTGTGTGGATTTTGGCGCCCCCTTGTGAAGTATGAAGTCCCATTAAGAGCACTGGTTCATTGTCAAGAGTTCAATTAGCAGATTGATACCATGCTCATGTCTGTACGTCATAAATAAAGCTACAGCTAGCAGTCATTTAGCGTAGCTTAGCATAAAGAACAAAGACACAGCTGGCTCTGCGTGCCAGCACTTGTAAAGTTCACAAATTAAATGTTAAAGAGTCTTGTTCCTTTAATCCACACAAAAATGACGATAAGATGTCACAAAGACTTATATCTTGACTATTGCTTAGCAGAAAGTCTTGTCTTGTTTATTTACTCTCAAGAGGAATAGATTAACTTTGTTTAAAGAATCCGAATGAACAGAACAATAGATATTGTATCTTTCTTTGTTTTTTTCCAAGCATTCTTCTATTTTTCTAAGATAGCCGCCTGTATTACCCACAATGCAAGTCAGCATTTAACTATTCAACCTGTGATACAGGTGTGTTATTTCCATACTAGCCTCTAGCCTCAAGCAAAGTAATGAAAAAGTCTCAATCCGGTGAAGTCTGTTGCCCTAACTTATTTCTAACTCCAAACACTTGTTTTTGTTTGTTTGTTTGTTTTTTTGCAACTCAATAAAAGGAGACTCAGGTGACACCACTTCAAACATGATCTGATTACTGACAGTTTTCATCAGAGCCGCAAACAATATAAACCAAATTTTTAGCATCCACAGTGGTCAACGCAGGAGCAAATATCAGAACATGTATCCATAAGCTGAATCCCAAAGGTTTCTGCAATGTTGTGTGTGGTGTACAAAGATTCATATTCACTGCTGTGCCTCTCTGTGACTGTTTTCAGGTTGTGCCAGGGCGCAAATAACATTGGTGAGTGTTAATCATACATCTACTTTTTAAAAGAAACAATGTATTTCTGCTATTTGTCCTACATTTTGACCCGTCTCATAAGAAGCACTACGACTGTTTAGTCTGTTCTGCATGTATATACTGTATATCCACTCATTTTAAGTACATTTACTCTGATTGTTTATAACTCCATGTATCTTGTATCCAGAAAACTTGCTCAGGCGTTCTTGCATAAGGGAGGATTCTGCTGCTTCAAGATTTGTTCATTATTGACTGAAGACAAACACCAGACACTTTCAGAGGACAATAATGTTTGGATTATGCAGTTACTCACTTTGCCCACTTTTCAAGATGATCCCCTCATGCTAAGATAATGGAGGGGCTTTACTTTGTCTACAGTAATAACAGCTATGCATGATGAGCATTTATAAATTGTACTCAATAAAATCTTTGTGACGATCACAGGGTCAGTTATTCACAAACATCCGAGTTTTTGAGAGCTGATTTTATTGGTCATTGAGACACGGTTTAAAAAGAGCACTGTTTCAGAATGTCAAGAAATAAAACTTTACAAGTAATTCTGTGCAAATGCCAAAGAAAAACAAAATCCATCAGCAAAACAAGCTTAAGATGCAACAGTTACTATTTCAATTATTATCTTTAGCTTTACAATTTAATTTCCATCTGTTTTTTAATTCATTTCTTACCAAAAGCAGATTGAATAGAACAGTTTTTGTAATATATATATATTTGGCTATTTTGTGCTTTTATGGAGAGATAGGTCAGTGGATAGAGTCAGAAATCAGGGAGAGAGAGAGAGTAGGGAATGACATGTCGGAAATGAGGAAACCCGCTTGGAGGACCACAGCCTCATTTGACTTTAGAGTCACTGATTAACATAAGGAATAAAGGCGCCCCTGTAAGCTCAATAGTGTAATACCCAGATAGAGCACACCTTCCTGTCCTTCTGTTTCAAAATGGGAACCACTCCTATCAATTTACAGGCACTGTCCCAGACCTCCATGTGACACTGAAGAGACGTGTTAGCAAAGAGAGCCCAACACACTGTCAGGAGCATTCTCCCTGCCACTGAAGAACACTTTGACTACCTCAGAGACCACTGCCAAAGATGGTTGAGACTTCCACTGGATCTTTGAAATGTGCCACTTCATCAGATGGCATGCTACTTTGGTTCAGTTCTTCCTTTTAAGTGTTTTTAACACAGTTCAACATCTTCAGACAGCAGCTCTCCAACCCTGCAGAAAACAGCAGTAAACAAGCCCTGCTTTCCTTCCTTGGTTCTTGAAACTGTAAGAACTTCCTTGAGGTCAGCCAAAACCCCCTATCCATAGCCTCCCAGCCTCTTCCCACACCCAGGTTTTAGCTGGAGTCTTCCGGCCCATCTGGTGCTTTTCTGCTGGGCTATCTGAGTCTGAAAGATTTCTTCAGATTCAATGGCTGCTGTCATAGCAGGCACCAACACTTACTGAGAGCCAAAAGAAAAGGGGCTCAAGCTCCTGTCTTGCCTTCTCTCCTTAATACTTTTGTCCTGGCAGATGAAGTATGCCATCTAGCTGTACCTGACCTTACTTTTATGACATTGTAATGAAACATATTTGATGTCAAGAGAAAAAAATACATTTGTGAGACTTTTCTCATCTGGATAATCATTCACTACATGGCCAAGTCTGCCCTCCAATACCTAACACCATACACTATATTTCTACTGTTCAGTCACATGTTTAAAAGTGGATGAAAGAGGTGCAGAGCACAGGGAGATCCAGCAAGTTGGCTCACAGACCTACAAGGAGACTCAAAGGCAATCTTTTTCATAACATCATAATCATCCATAACAATCAATAACAATTCTTGTATTTAAGTGCACAATCTAAAGTATGGTCCCTGTGCTGTGCCAATCAAATCACCTACAAGTATATGTCACAGTTTCCTCTGTGTTACTGCAGGCTAACCTTTGCCCTGGCTGTGTTTGGTATTTCATAATGTAATGCTGACCTCTGATCACAGCAGTCCGGGAAATCATTTGGAAATCTGGACTCTAAACAAATGAATCTCTGTTGTGGTTTGACAAACATGGGAGAAACTAAAACATGCTGCAATGTTTGCTGAATGTTTTAACCGTTAAATGTATTCAATTTAAGTTGAAACTAAAGACTTAAACCACATTTAGTTTATTATTGAACATCTTTATCATGATTGAATCAGCTTTCAGATTATGACCTTTAAATGTATTTGCGATCTCTCTAAGTTCCCATTGTTTGTATGCACATAGTACAATATGAATATGATGTAATGGTTGTAAAATACTCAATCATTCTGACTACATTGATGAAGTATTCTATAAATGTTCATTTCTGTCTTGTAATGATCTTTATATGTCATAACTCTGATTTATGTTAACATTATGATGAGAGACCGGTGTGTTGAACTGTTTTTTTAACCCCCGAGTGTGTCTGCAATGTTGTTTGTTTCATTGAATCAGTGTGTGGGCTTGGAGTAATGAGGGGTGTCAGAGTCACAGATACTGACTCTTTACTCCACATTTCTTCACTTTTTGGGGAAGTGCCCTCAACAATCATTAACCTGTTCTGATTTGAAATGGGCTCTTCACTAACATTTTTATTCCTGACAAAATGTGGGTGAGATATCTCGGGTTTGTTATTCTTTTCGGCCTTCCAGGAGCACTGCATGGTAAGAACATTAGACTCAACATTAGACCTAACATTTACATTGTTTTTTTTGTTTTGTTTTTTATGATAGTGTTGTGCTCTTATTTTTACTCATCTTTTCTTTTTTTTTTTTTTAAGCTCAAAGTGCAACTCAGCCTTGTGACGCTCCAGGCCTTGATGGTGGGGGTTTTTTTCCCGAAACAAGAAACATATTCTCATGAAATTGAGATAACTTACGCCTGTGATAGTGGACGTAAACCTGCAGTGAAGGGATGGTGGGCAACAAGCACATGTCAAAACGGGGTATGGTCTCCTGAACCGCAATGTATAGGTAAGTGTTTGTTTGAATGAGACACTGAGAGCCTGTAATAGCGCTTGTCATGCTAAACTGTATGTAATGTTCAAGTTTTATGTTTGTTTGTTTTTTTACCTCATGAAGTCATCAATCTTTCAATTTATGAAACTTTAGTCTGAAACGGCTTCCTTTAGCAAATGTTATTACATTTCTTAATGAAACTCTTCTGTGGTGAGCTTTATACTATGTGCATGAAGAAGCAACATTTTCATCCTCTGTCTGTTATATGCATCCAAATAATCACTGAGTTCTTAGTCAAAAGCAACGTGTAACAGAAGACGCCATCAGAAGACGCTATCAAAATGGCCGTCTTTTCCTGTTCCATGCTTTTCTTTAATTGTTTACATGCATGACTGGAGAGATGTCAGAGTGAGGGGGCAGAGGGGAAATATTCGTAAGAGTCATATTAAAATGTGTGTGAAGGTCATTTGTTTGTTTGTTTACACAGAAATAAACGCCTGCATTCCAATAACAGTCCCCAATGCAAAATACACAGAAAACTCAGATGGTTGGTATGAGGAGGGGGACAAAATACGGGTAACATGTGACGAGGGATATGAAGTGAAAAAGAGGGACGCCACAGCTGTTTGTCTCAATGGAACCTGGACCTCTGTGCCTGTCTGTGAGAGTAAGTGTGTTCCTCCAGTCACCCAAACCAATAACAGAATAGGATCAGTGTCCGAACCAACGCCATCTTTTCCTGTTCCTGCTAACACTTTTTTCTTTAATTGTTTACAGAGAGCATCCTTGCATGTGGTGAACCCCCTCAAATCCCCCATGCAGTCATTGTTGGTCAGAGATATCAGGAGGTGTTTGCTGCAGACTCCAATGTGACATATGAATGTGAAGATGGATACTCTGTGGAGGGAGCAGAGAGCAAAAAAACCATCTTCTGCATATCCGGAAACTGGACTGAAGGCCCAACGTGCAGTAAGTGAACTAACCGCTAAGATGTAAAAAACTTCAAGACCTCCTCAGAACTTAAAAAACATTAAAACATGTTAAAGACATTGCTCCGTGGTGCTAGTAGAGGGTAATGCTCAGAAGGGTCCTTTCTACTGTCTTCATTCATTTTTATCATCCACACTGCAGCTGCTCTCAGAAGAAGAAAAAACACTTCTAAACTTATTGTGTGTTACTTCCCCAGCATTGAACCATGACCTTGAAGTGTAAGCAGCTTTAGCAGGGGAACTATTAAGCAGCCATGATGAGAAGTGCAGTTAGTGGAGACTGTAGACCAGCAGTGCATGACAGCATTTGGCCAGTCGTCTTTCTCAGCTAAAGGCCCACAGATTGAGAATACCCCTCCCATCAGACATAAAAACATGAACTGACTCCAAAGGTTTGAATAACAAAGCGAAACAATGGCTTAAACAAAGGCAAATCTGCAAATACTAAATACACGTGTTTTATAGCACAGCATATTTTATTCCTCTTTTACTTTATTTGTTCATAGCTGTTATTTCAGTCATTATTATTTATTCTCATTCTTATTCATCATCATCATCAATTTGCTTGTCTATGTCTGACTTACTTTTATGCATCTATGTCGCTGAGTCTCTGCAATCGTCCATTTCCATCTCTATTTTACAGCCTTGTTGTATCATGTGTGTTATTTCCTAAAAGCCTAACCAGGAACAGGGAGTGCAAATTAGCCATGGCTAGAAGTCCTATGTACATTGCATCGGTTGCACTTTAATGAAGATGTAACAATGCCTACATGAATAGTCCCTGACAAATAAATTAGGAGCTGAACAGTCAAATATTTCCCTCAAGAGTCTGTAGATATAAGGTGACCAGAAAGTCAATCTTTTATCAATATTTCTTTAAACTCAGAGTTACAAATTTCTACATAAACAGGATTAGAATGAAAATACAAATAAACACGGCTTTGACTTTACAAATGTGTTTTGGAAGCTGAGTAACAGTCCAGGAGTTTTCTTTGTCATTAATAAACCACCATTTCAATCATATAAAATATAAGAATATACTACAATTGATCTATATATCTGTTTCACTCTCAGTCAGAGGAACTAGACCAGGTAGCGGAGGAGGTGAAGGACAAACTACATCTTCTGACAGAACACAACCTACAGTTGGAGGTAGGTAAAAGACATAAACTGTATGAGATGAAAATAAGTTTGTCCATGTATCTGATCTGAACACACTTCATTTACTTGTAAATAATACATATTTAAAGTAATGTTTGATCCTTTGAGGCAGCAGACCAGGTACTGGACAGGGTGGTTCTGCGGGTAGGGGAAACTTTCCATCAGCTGGCAGTGTGGCCCGGCCTGTGGGTGGTATGTGTAAATTTGTATAAATAAAATGTTTTAAAATCTTAAAAATGGAGAATAAAAGCGCCTCTGACAAATGTGCTAAGTACTATTGGCCTTTTTGGATGATTTAGCAACAAA